TTAAAAATTATTAAGTGCAATACTATCATTAGTATAAAAAATTAGGGTTAACTCTCCTCGACAATCAAGAGCAAGGAAAAAGAAGATTGGTTATGTATTTTATTTCTTGTTTTTCATGTTTATTCTTTATGTATAATTATAAAAGTAACTAAAGTGATTTTCAACTTATAATGGCAGGGATAGTAGTTAGACATGGTTTAAAGGGCAATAAAACAATAAAATTTAATTATAAATAGATGTATACTGTTATGAACTTATAGCTACTTAGGATAAACAAATGTAGTTTCATGTTACAATTTGAAGTCATTCTAGAAAGAAAGAAAAAAAATTAATTTAGGTTTATTTCGATTTTGTTTTTTGGTGGTTATGAGGTTAGTCAAATTGACCAATTCTTTTTGAGATAGGGTAGACAAAATAACAGATAAACTATAAAGTTTTACTGAAAAAAACGTTTAAAATTTAAAATGCATTTAGAAGGTTTTAGGGATTACAAAAAGTAAATTTGAGATTTTTGAGATGAGGAAAAGTATATTTAATTTTAACATGAAAATTATTTTGTGCATGGACTATTCAAAACAAATACTCAATATATTCATGGACAAATCTTTATTTTATATTATTAAAAATACTTCACTAAAAATATGATTTTTTTCTATGTGAAAGACATAACATTAACTGAAAGATTGCCAAATTTTATGAAGATATACACACTATATTGAAAGTTAGAATTATTAAATGTGTAAAGACTTTAAATGAGTACAAAGAAGTCATGTGGTCAGTCATATTGACTGAGCCTGTGTTGAGTAAGTTAATATGACAAAGTGTTGAACACTGTCTTATCTTCCAACTTAACACCAAGTCCCCTTACAGTATAAACAAAAAACTTACTTTCAAATAATTATAAAACTCTATCAACCCTTTCTCTACTTTCAGTCCTTAAACCTTTTATTTAGATGCATTTACCTTACATCTCACTCCTGGTTAAATCTTCCACTTATAACCTTACCTATGTCTTTTACTTCCCATAATTATTTCCCTGGATTAATATTTTATTTTACTAGGCTATTATTTATTAATTTGCAAATTTATGTTTATCATTTTCCTGTGTTTATATTTCTAAATCCAATTTTAGTTTTTCTAATTACTTTTTTCCATATTCTTGCTAATTTTAATAATATTTATGTAATAAGTTCAACATTTTTATCAGCATTTTTGTCACCGTGCTCCACTCTGAACATGTGTAATTAGAACTGTTGTATTATCTTACCTTTTAATGATTATTTCTGAGCCTAATTGCATCATAACAGTCTTTACTGCCTGACAAAGGGCAACTGCTCAATATGTAGCAAAAAATAAAACTAGATAAAGCTTTTATTTTGATTTGTCTATTTATTCTTTATTATCATTTATCCAAGTTTTTCTTGTCATGTCTTGTGGAATAATACACATTCAAAAATGTTTACCTTAATCATTAACTCTAAATGTGATGATAAAGATGTTGAACTTTAAATATAGTTCATAATTAATTACACACTTGAAAAAATGGTGCACTGACTTGCAGATTCTGATGATACAATATCACACGAAGAAAGAGCATATCTAACTGCATGCACTAGTGTTAGAATAAAACAAAGTCTAGTGTAAACTTATTACAAAAACGTTTATATAACTGAAAGAAAACACTTCTAATAATTTTGTGTGTCAGTATTTTTGTACTCAGAACTGAAGGTTAGAATATTAACAGGATACTTTTCACCACATTTTTTATGATAAAACCATTACACTACAAACTGTTAGCCATGCACAACATGCACGTGCTTTTCAGTTTAACACACAAAAGCAAATTTTCCATAAGAGCTGCTTGTAATTATTTTTCAATTTTGCAAAGGCATCATTTAATGTTACGAAAATTTAAAGGAAGTAAATATTGCAAGACACTGGTATGATGTAGGTTGAAATGAGACTATGCATTTTCAAGAAATTAATATCAAAGGTAAATATCTGTAAATTAAATTGTTAATCCAAAATAATATGTAAAGTTACTTGGAGCTATATGTGCTAGCTATCTCTAATTTTGAGGCAACAGACTAAACAGAATACAACTAGCCAACACCAACCACAACCAACTCATGGGCTACTCTGACTGAATATTGAGATTTGGCCATCACTCCTATAATGTACCAATGGACCAGAAGTATGGAGCTTATATTTTGGGGGGTTAGTAACCTGACAGAACCATAGAATCCAATCCAGAAAGCTAACAACTGGCCCAATGTATAAATTATATTTTCATTTTTATAACTAGGGCAAGTGGTAAAATAACTATAAGGTAACAACTGATCATAGCAGAAATTAAACACAAAAAAATTTCCCATGTTTAATTTTGGTTTTTAAGTCATATTAATGTTAGAATATGTTGCTGATTTATAATGCTACTTGTTCATAATGTTAATCAATCTTTATTGGATAATAAGGAGCACGTTTGTATTTAAAAAAAAATCCATTTTAAAAGTGAAAAACTAAAACAGCACAATCAAATATTAAAAGTTGTAAAAATTTTGCTCATCACTGTGAAAACATTTTTCTTTGACTAACATAATAAATCTATTAACTTACAACTATATTACAACGTAATCCATTCTGTAAATTTTTTTAACTGTTTACATTAGGAAATGGTCACCCTTTTAAACATGTGATGAAAGCTAAAATCTATTACTATTTCTAAAAGCTGTTATACTTTTTCCTGAAGGCAAATTTGTAATTTAATGTATTAAAATTAAAACTAATATGATCTACAAATCTAATTCTACAAGGGAACATTATGTTTCTTCCTTCAAAACAGGCAAGCAGTGAATGTTTTACACACAAGAACATCAAATAAGATGAAGACTTTTGCAAATTTCTTAAGCTAATGGGAGTTGTCAAATGAGACTGTTGGATCAAGAATATCTTAGTTAATGTCACATCTCCATTGTAAACTAACTTGGAGTTTTTCTGCTAAAAGTTTACTACAAATGTAGCCAACTTGCATTTAATTTACATCATTTGTGCTTATCTCCAAATTTATTTTTTACTAAAATCAAAAAAGTTTTTCATTTTTCATACAAACACAAGAGTGCATAGCTAGTCATGACTATTGCAATAGTACTCCTCTTTGAAACGACCAGAAATGTTTTATTGGAAATTTAAGCAACTACTAATGAATTATAGATGTGTGATCAAAATTAAACTTTTATTTTCATATAAAAAATCGTATCCTGCAGTTGATAGTCAACAATTTCAAGTATTGATATATTGATGAATTTCAAAAATGCAAATTAACACTTACAAATCAAAACCTGATGTTAATACCTTATTACTGAGACAAGTTAACTAAAAGCTGGAATGAACCTGAACATATTAATAACTTCATGAAGTACATGCTCACTATGCATTACCCACAAACTGCAACCTGCCAGACTTGAAGTGTACACATACAAACCATCACAGAACACTAAAAACAAAGGCACTCACTGAATAAAAAAAAATTTACATACCATCAGCATCCTTCGGTAGAAGATCTGGTATATCATCAGCAGCTATACCATCTACACTGTCTATCAACAGAATATAAATCAAAATTCATGCAGGTCAAAAAACAACAACACGGGTTTATTTAATAGAAAATGAAAGAAATTAATAAATCATATCTAATCATTCAATTACACTATAAAACAGTGTAAACATAATATTTCGTAATCTTCAGAACAGAGTTGTGCATAAAAAAAATTAAAACACAGTCAAAATAAAATAATCATCTTTAGCCTTATAGAACTGAAATAACGAAAAAAAAAAAAAAAGGTGCAGTTTATGGTTTATGCTAGTGGCTGTTTGTAGGTGCATTATAAGCTTCATGAATCTGCATCATTATTTGTATCAATTTTCCAGCCAAAACCCAAATTACTTGGTTTTGTTTGAGTTTGAATATGCATACCAAATTCCAGATGAAACAGAAAATACTGAGTTTTCTTCTAATAAAACGTTCTAGCCAGGACCAGATAAGTCCTTGTTTTAATCTAATAAAAAGTTCTAGCCAGGACCAGATAAGTCCTTGTTTTCTTCTAATAAAAAGTTCTAGCCAGGACCAGATAAGTCCTTGTTTTATTCTAATAAAACGTTCTAGCCAGGACCAGATAAGTCCTTGTTTTCTTCTAATAAAAAGTTCTAGCCAGGACCAGATAACACTCAGTGTTGTTCTAATAATACAGAATTCTAGCCAAAACCATCTAATTTTGTCATACAAATACCTAAATCCATTTCAGCAACAGATTGGAGCCAGTTTTGTTCCAAGAATACCTAATTCCACACAGCATCAGGTTACATCTGGTTTTGTTTTACTAATGCATTGTTTCAGTAAGCATCAGGTTATGTCTGGATTCATTCAATAAAAAATAGCTTAATTTAAAAATAGACAACTTACCAATTTAAATTTGTTTTTTGCAAGAAGAGAGGAAGATTTTTGAGAACTTACCAACAACTGACTGTGGCCTGAGCTTTCGTGTGTGTACACTTTTTCTTTTTGTTGATAACTTTGGTGTCGCCTGAGTAAACAAATTAATATATGATTCATTTAATTATATTCAACTGAGAGTGCTAACAAAATTATTAATTTTACGACAGGAGGCTTTAATTTTGTATAGACGTTTCACTTTGTACAGAATACAATCTACCTGAAGTTCACACATACTTCATTTCTAACTAACAACTATACAAATAATTTCCTAAAATAACATTATTATTTTTTTTTATAATTAAGTAAATACAAGAATTTTCTTTTAGTAAATTTGTGATACAAGACTATAAATATTGTATACTCTACTTAGTTTAACATATAACAGACTGGTATATAAAAAATTAAACTAATAATCTCTCTCAGTTTTTCCAAGTCTTATTAAAAATGACACATTGTAAACAAATCAGGTTAATTAGTAAACAGGAACTACTGTTTAAATACAAGATACCTAAAAGATATGAAATGAAGAAAAATTTAGCTTCCAATATGAAGTATTTTAGTGTGTCTTCTGGTCTATACTCAAGAACACGATTACTTCTTGTTGATTGTATTAATATTTTATACATAGAAATTGATTAAAACTACATTATTAGTTTGAACCTAGAGAAAAAATGCTTAAACGCCATATTACAAAATAAATTAAGAACACTTAAAATAATATAAACCGTGTACTCACAACTAAACTGAGGAGTGAAAAAGAACACAGCTGACTTAAATATAAATACAAGCTCAAAGTTAAGAAAGGAAAAAATACTAATAAGAGAACTGCAATGTCAATTAAAAGCAGTTGGTATTTCTGCATACTATATATAACACATTCCAATTACACTTGAAATTGTTACTTTGTATAAGAATGTGTTCTTAGTTCTAGATTAAGTATAAAAATCATTTAAAGGCATTATTTAATTTTTCACATTCATACTAATAATTATTTATATTTATCCTGTATCTAATCAATTTATAATCTTAACTTGCTATCACTGTAATTTTCATACATTTTTAGAGATACTATACTATATCATATCTTTTTTCACAAAACTATTTTTAGTTCCTAATACAATACAAGATTAACACATCAAAACAATCTATGTAGAGATGAAACTTTAAAAAGAATATACAAGCCTCTTTCATGATGTTAACCTTCATTGTCTTCTAACAATCACAAAACATGCATTTTTTTTAAATATTTGCATGTATCTGTAGAATACAAATCCATATAAGATGTACTTAAAATTCAATATCCTAAAAAACATGCACTGGTAATGTGTTGTCTTTATTTAATAACAACTGCTATGTAAGAACTTTAAACTTGAAGGGTAGCTTTCCTTAACTTTCCACATTACTACAAAAACATGCACTAGCACATGTTGTCTTGATTTAATAACAACTGCTATGTAAGAACTTTAAACTTGAAGGGTAGCTTTCCTTAACTTTCCACATTACTACAAAAACATGCACTAGCACATGTTGTATTGATTTAACAATAACTGCTGTGTAGAAGGTTCATACTTACAGCTTTCCTTAACTTTCCACATTACTACAAAAAACATGCACTAGCACATGTTGTCTTGATTTAACAATAACTGCTGTGTAGAAGGTTCATACTTACAGCTTTCCTTAACTTTCCACATTACTACAAAAAACATGCACTAGCGCATGTTGTCTTGATTTAACAATAACTGCTGTGTAGAAGGTTCATACTTACAGCGTTCCTTGTTAAACTTTCCACATAACAAAAACATGCACTAGCACGTGATGTGTTGATTTAACAATAACTGCTGTGTAGAAGGTTCATACTTACAGCGTTCCTTGTTAAACTTTCCACATAACAAAAACATGCACTAGCACGTGATGTGTTGATTTAACAATAACTGCTGTGTAGAAGGTTCATACTTACAGCTTTCCTTGTTAAACTTTCCACATAACAAAAACATGCACTTGTACATGATGTGTTGATTTAACAATAGCTGTTGTGTAGAAGGTTCATACTTACAGCGTTCCTTGTTAAACTTTCCACATAACAAAAACATGCACTAGCACGTGATGTGTTGATTTAACAATAGCTGCTGTGTAGAAGATTCATACTTGCAGCTTTCCTTGTTAAACTTTCCACATAACAAAAAACATGCACTAGCACGTTGTGTTGATTTAACAATAGCTGCTGTGTAGAAGATTCATACTAACAGATTTACTTGTTAAACTTTCCACATTACTTAAAAACATGCACTAGCACATGTTGTTTTGATTTAACAATAGCTGCTGTGTAGAAGCTTCATACTTACTAGATTTAACCAAGCCAGTTGCTGCCAGCATGAGCAAAAAGAAAAAAAGCAATTAAAAGTTGCAAATCTAAAAACTGTTAATGATTAACTGTTTCCTCAGCAGAATCAGAAATTAACTAGAATATAATGATAAGTCGATTTAGTTTGTTTTACTAAAAGCTTCAAGAGCAAAGAGAAGAATAACTTTTTCATAAAGCTAAAGTGTATAGAATAAAACATGAAGTGAAAAACAGAGTTTACCTGAAAAGTTATTAATGATTAAAGTTTTAAAAAAAGAATTAATTTCAACTAATAATATAAACCACAAAACACTTGTATGTGATTCTAAATCTCATTATGATGAATAATTGTATTTTGATGAGATTATTAAACTGGTTTATTTTAATGACTTAATTTTGTGAATGAAACATTTATACTCCGAACTTCATATTTTCCAAAAAATAAAACCTTTAACAAAAATTTAAAAATTAAGTTTTGTAGAAAGTGTTATTTAAACTACATTCTAACCAATATTATAAATTCTGACTCAAATCATTAATAGGTACTCAGAAAAAAATAAAACTGCAGATAGAATATGTTATTTTTGTTTTCCATGAAGTTTATAATATTTATATTCCACTTATCAAATCATCCACAAAGAATGCCTTAAAAAAGTATTTTGCAAATTTTTTTTATCAATTTTCAATAACTTGCTATTTAGCAAAATATTTACTTGAGAGATTTATAATAAGTAGGTTTTTCCACTTACATTTATTTTGTTTTAGTGATGCTTAGCAATAATAAAAAATAATGTAATTATGTTCGTAATGTTTTTGAAAGCACTGTACTATTTTTTCACAAAATATACCAAGTTCAATGTTTTCCTTTCTCAAAAAACTATGTTTTAGAAGCAATGTTTTAGTCTCAGACAAGCATAAAGCTATATGGATGGTAAATTGATCATAAAAATTCTATAATGAAATAGAGAGAGATTATACATTACAATAATATTACAACCAGACATATCTCAGTAATTTCACAAAGTTTTAGTGATGTAGTAAATGTTTATCAGTTTAAGATCTGCAACTTCTGAATAAAGACCAAAATTCTGATGAAAGAAAAGTATTTCTCTGAAAGGTTAAGGCATCGATACTGTGATCTTTTTTTTGAAAAATGAAGTGACTGTGAGAATGAAAAATCATCTAATAACGTTTTAATTATTTGAAATCCATATTACATTTGATAATATTTAAAAGTGAATGCTATACTATTTATTTTAGACTATAAGACAAAAAAGAAGTAATTATTAAACTTACCAGAGGAGAATCCAAACTCTCACTAAAACTATCTGTATCAAATTGAGAATCTCCACTCTGACTTGTTCTCATTCCACCTTCCGCTCGGTTCCGGTTCCTTAGTACATCAGGTGTAGAGCTACGTTGATTTCCTCTCTCAACCTGCACAATAAGACAAAATAAACTCAGTACAAGAACAACTACTACTAATAGACAGAACAGGTTCTTACTGATTTTATCAAAAAATGTAATAGGTTCCTTCTGATCACAAGAAAGCTTCCCTTATATGATCAAATTCAAGTTACTTAAATTGCATACAGAAAAACTGCTGTAGTTGTTTTTAAGGGGGGGGTTCTAAAGATTTAGGAAAAGTGTCAAATATTTGTTTACTTCATTATAATTTTATTCTTACTATTCAATTCCAAATAACCTAAAGCATAACTATTTTCTATCCATATTTGAAACCAGTCACCAAATGTTTAATCTATCTAATGAAAATCACATTATCTATAGGACACGAGTTTAATGCTTTTGATGTTTTATCTATTTTTTTTCCTAATCTTTTGATAATTTCATATGAAATAAAAGTTTAGAGGAAAGAACAACAGCAGAAACCATACCAAATATTTGTGACTATGTGAAAGTGTTTCAATAACTTCATCCAGAATTCTGTCAGAAAGATGAGCTGCAACTGATAAGTTGATCTCACTGAAAAAATAAACATTTTATATAAATAGTTGTAAAACTGCTCACATTCAAATAATCTTTAAAAAGCCAATACCACAAAATAAATCATAACAAACCTTTCTTTTTCTAGTAATAATACTTTTTAACTCCAAGTTAACAGCAAAGATTTTAAATACTTCAGCCATATCCACAAAAAATATATTATGCCTTGATAAATTATATCAGGGCTCTTTTTTTTGTTGCATCATGGAAACATAGTTTTTAAACGATCCTATAAAAATATTTTATAAAGAATCAGTTGATAACAGTTAAGTGTGCTAAACAATAAAAAAATCCCAGTGATTATAGAAACATCTTACTTCATTATAAAATAACGCTTCTCTTTGTAATATCTATGATGAGTAATCATATACTGTGTAAATGAAGTCAGTTTCAATTATCTTATTCAGTAATAGCCTTAACTGATAAGCATTTTTAAGTATGCTGATGTTGTAGGAATGTACAAAACTAAGTAAATTTATGGACAATCCTTCAATTATAAATTATCATAATGTACCTGAAAATATCTGGTGAAAACACATAAGCTTAAGATTTAATAATATATTTAACACCCAGTCTGAGTCAGGGAGACATTTTAGTATGTTGATTCCAAAACAAAGCTTCCCAGTACTCTATAATTTTAAGTCTGAAAACAGATCTGAGCTTCTTTTGACATCTGGAAGGTGAATTTCCTGAATTTGTACAAGTTTCCAGGTTATGATGGAGTAAGTCCAATATTCCAATCCAAAATTCCACACAAAACATGGCAGTGACTGCATGTGGTTTTCAAAAGTTCTGTTGATAGTTATGACTGAGGATGGCTTAGTGACTCTTACCTAAGGTGGATGGATGTGGTAACCACCTTCAACATACTATTTTATGCAAAAGGAACATAATACAGTCAGTGGTTGGATGTGGTAACCACCTTCAACACAAACACTGCTACAATTTTATGCAAAAGGAACATAATACAGTCAATTCTCTAAACTCTGCATCTTCATGGCTGACCACCACTGAGATGCGAGTTCTTCTGGCAGTAAAGTGTGTATTTTTTTTAGGTTAACAGTATGAGCTATTTATCAGAGTACAATTTTTTTCTAACTTGAATACTGGAAGCTGTAACACTCTTCTGTAGGCCCTCCAACCCCATGGATTTGGTCTTACTGAGTGTGAATTATACCCTTCTGTCACAAACTAATTTATCTAAACTATGCCTGTACAACATTAATGAGTAATGAACAATGTCATTTTTGCCAATTTATATAAATACAAATTGTTTAACATCTATATTATATTAAACAAGATAAATTAAAAGTGAGATTGAATATTTTCTGAGGTTTACTGGTATCTCATTGCTGTAGCTTACTATTGGTTTATACTGAAATGTTAGTAATCCTTAGAATAAAATATACTATGAATTTAGTAACATTCTATAATAAATAAACAATCAATACTTTGGTACCAATGTGAAGTGACTTCATCAGTCAGAGATTAAATGGAAATAATGTCTCGTGTCAACGAGAAACTAACCTCAGCTTGTTCAAAATGTCAGCAGCAGTTTGTTCGAGCAAGCACTGACGTATAAAGTCTAAAGGAAGACAGCCTCTCTCTTGACAAAGTGTTTCCAGATCACTTTGCACTTTCTGAAGAATATAAAATGTTGTAAAAAATATAGATTAATGCATTTTGACTTTATATCCAACAATGCAAAACAAAATAATTTCATACTGCATTACCATTACCAATACTTTTAAACCAGACATTCATGTACAAGCTAATTATACTCAAGGCTATACTTTCTGTAATGGATTTTAAAATACTTTAAAATCTACACCTTTCAATTTATAATTTATAGCAAAAGTAAAAAATAACCACTAAGAACTTTGTGGTAATTTGATACACTATTACAAAAAAAGTTGAAATAACTTTTCAATAAAACTAATTTTACTTTCAAAAATATTTCTTTGAACTTTTTAAAATTCCCTTACTCATCTTGACTAAATGTGCAAAGCATATGCCAGTCAATTAAAATTTCTCACCTTTGAAAAACATAAATGTGAATAAAACTAAGAAGTGAGATTAAAATAAAACATCCAATAATTACAAAAAATGGTTGTAAGATCTCAGTACAGAAAAATTTAAAAAGTTGAATTTCCTATAAAACATTTAGAATAAACTAAAATTCCAACACTTTGTATCTACAGACCTAAAAGCATGAGATACAACTTAATTACATTAAAACTTCAGGAAATACAACATATCCCAAACAGTAATTCAGACTAAATATATGATGAAAACAGAAAACTGAGACTTGCTATACTGGTGGAATGACGATAAAGTTCTGGCTTCAGAATTGTTTTTAATGTTGGTTTTAGGTAACTAAAAAGTAATAATCCATTTATCTGTAAGTAGCAGCTACAAAGCATAATTCCTGTTATTTAATTTGTACATCAGTAAACTAGTGGTAAAAGTAGCATGACAAAGACAACACGAAGTCACATTAACACACACAACTGAACAATACTAACCTCATCAGCCATTATATTTGGACACTGATCTCGTACACATTTCATCATACAAGCTGAGGAATTCTAGAAACAAAGGATTTTATCACATGTGATAAAATGTTACAACACTTTAGCTAAGAAATAAAGTGCACACAATTACTGAACTTGTAATCTTAGTCAGTTCTTGAAGTAAATGAGTATGACACAAAAAGCATATGGATGTCACTGGCTTTAAATTTCTTTAACTTATTAAACTTTTTAGTAACAAATTCCTGCATTAAAATAGTGAGAAAACTATTTTGAATATTAACTTATTTCATTTTGACTTTTTTTTTCACTGAGATTTCTTTTCCATTTGCTGAGCTTATGAATATTATGATTGACAGATTAAGTTAATGATGATAAAATCCATATAAATAGAATTAAAGCAATAATAAAGAACAATAAAAAAGTTTAATATGAGTCTAGATGTCAAAAATATCTATGCACAATTAATAACAAAAATATAGCTTATACATTAAAAAAATATACTTTTTTAAACAAAATAGGTTTTGCACTTTACAGTATTTAGTGAATAAGCAAAGTGACCCTAGAACAAATAATTAAAGAATTTAACTGCTATAATACCTTTAAGTATGTCTCCATAGTTACTGAGAGTTCATCTACAAAATCTTGAAGTTTCATCTCCACTGGATTACCCACTTCTTCTTGTTCAAGCACTACCTCATGAAGACGTGTCAAAAGCTAAAGAGAAAAATATGCATATTTAAATATTTGCTGGATATTTAAAATTTTTTGAACAAATAACTTCAAGTTACATTAAATATTATTGGCAGATCATTGTTTTTCTATAAATTTATTCAAACAGCAAACTGATAATAAAAGATAATGTCTACCAATTAAAAATGTTTTAGTTTTTATGGGCTCATGATATTATCGCACATTCTTTAATAGAGAGAAACTTTAATTATTATATAGTTAAGGCTGCAATAATGTCTCAAATTTTCATTCTTTTCTATGCATGATGGCTGTTTTCATGCTAAAATATCTCAAATAATATCATAGCATGAAATTCTGTGATACATTCACAACACATGAAGGAAACGTAGTTAAATTATTTTCATCACAACAATACAGTTTAAGAAATACAAAACTTTTGGATTCATAATTCAAAATAGATAGTGAATACATAGCTAACAAAAACATTATATTTTTTTATATATATTTATTGCTATAAAAATCAGTATTATTCTCCTATTATTGACATATCTTTAACTGTCCACTCAATGTCTCTCTTGCCTAATCTCTGAGGATGTGTTTTACATATAAAATTTTGTCAACTATAACTTACGTACACTTTACAAAGTTAGTTGGTAAATATGAAAATACTAAGTGATAAAGATGACAAGAAGTCTTGCACTGATCATAAAATTAAAGCACAATTTAAAGTACATTTATGATATAAAGTATTTTTCATTGTTACAGTTACTATTTATTCAGAAATCTGATTTTGGCATAATTTAAATAAACATATTCCACAGAGAAGCAGTAATTATTTTGTTGTAGTTACAAATGTAGATTTTGCTTTATATGGTGATTGTTTTAAATAAATGTAATAAACAATATGCATTATTATTTGTTTATCACTGAGAATTATTTGCTGGGTAACTATATGAGAGTGGACAACATAAGATACACAACGTTTGCACCTGTTTAGCATTGTTTGCATCGTTAAGATAACCCTCAGCTTGAGTTACTTCTTCCAGACTGCTGCTAGTATCCGAGGCTCTTTTACTGCTGTTGATAGCTTCCTGTACATGCACCATTAGTCGATCAACCATCTAGGAAATGGAGATTATAATAGGTTGGACAATATTTACATTAAATAAAATATACCTTCCTACTCATTATGTAGGCAAAGTGAAAACACTACATAATGAAAATAAATTTAATTTTTTTTTAAAATACAAGAGTAAAGGGTGAATGTGACATAATAGACAGGTAGTAAATGGGGAAATATAGACAGGTAGTAAATGGGGAAATAAAGATTAAAAGCAATGATCACACTAGCACTTGAATTTGAGTCTCAAGATAATTAGTAAAAATGGGGTTCCCTAATTTTTCCTACATAAAACATACAAACATCAGAATTTTAAATTTATTTTTTAGGAACTGTGGGAAAATTTAAACATATTCTATACTGTACTGGAATGCCCATTGATTTTCTCATTGGTAGTACAAGATTTTGAAAACTTACTGCACCTTTTCCAAGTCAAATTACCACATGCTGAATTTCATAAAACAGGACAGAACATTTATGCCGACAACACATGAAATGCATTAGAATAATTTTTCTGCCCCTGATATTTACATGCAAGAAGTGCATTAATGTGAACCCCAATAAAAGTGTAGGCTTTTAATCTTAAGATTGAAGCTAAAAGGCCAACATGGCAAATAAAAACATGCAATAAATATGGAACTATTAATAATGTAACAAGAAAATTTAGGGTAGACAATGCAAAATGGATAGGTAGTAAATGAACAAAAATGGTAGTGTAACTTTTAATTTTTTAAACCAAGAAAGTGTAAACAAAGCATAAGAGATAAAAAAGTAGGTAAGTAAAAATGAGTTTACATCTATTTTTTTAGTTCTAAGGCCTGCTATGATTGTTAGGGCACCATGATTCTCATCCTTGGTGATTCTCAGACAGATTTACCAATTGGCACCCATCTTCTCTCCAGGTTCCTAATTTAGTAGAGGAAGACTAGAGGGAAAACAGCTAGTCAGCACCACCCACTGCTAATTCTTGGATTAGTCTTATACCAACAAAAAGTGGGTTGACCATCACATTATAGTACAGTCACACCTGAAAGGGTGAGCATGCAATGGAGCAGGTATTTGAACGCACTACTCCAGATTGTGAGTTAAGTGCCGTAACAGGCAGGCCATGCCAGGCTTTTTACAACTATTACAATTTAGCAATTATGAAAAATTTAACTTATGTAATTTCAACTATAATTTTTATGCTATATTTTTGAAATTTTCTCAATTCTGTTGTAGCTAACTTTCACAGCTTAAAAGTAAATAAAAAGCAATGTAAAAAAAACAACAAAAACAAGTTAACTATACTTTTGGAACAAAATGTTAGCAAAAAAGACTAGGAAATTAGTTTTGACACTCTAATGCAATGTTGATGAAAACTGCCTTTAAAAGGCACTTTACCTTCAGTTCTAATTGTTTAATGTTGAATTAAATACTAAACCTTCTTTACTGTTAAAACTTGTGTACTTAGAATGGTCGCACCAGTGATCAAAACATCATACCTGTTCTAAAAAATATTCTTCCTTACTGCAAAAGTTACTACTTTTTCTCAGACTGAACCTTGCTTCAATTTAAAAATGTTATTTGATTCTAATATTTCACTTAGTATAAAATGTCAAGTATTTTTTGGCAATGGCCTCCAAGTCCAAAAAAAGTACATTATTTTCATTTTGTAAAGATCACTATTACTCAAAAATTATCAATATATTTTTAGTACTCTTCAACAAACATACCCACCATAAAATTTATGAAGTTATCAGCTACAGATTCCAAACTATTATCTAAAAATTAATGCATAAATTTCGATAATTTAACTTTGCTCTAAACTAAGATTAATTATGAATCAAGAAACAGAGCTCACTTGCTGGGTAGAACTTAGTAAAAATCCCTGTTGTAATCTAAAGGCTTGTCCATTGCTGAACTTTTTAGGAGAGACATTACGATGTAGTAATTCTTCAATCTAGAAAAGAATGTTACATGTTTCATCACTACTCTTAATGATATAAAAACTACCTTAGTCTGGTTGCATTTGACAAATGAATACACATTTGAAAATACACAATACTTAATTTCTAACGGAGTATTATGACTGAAACCAATACACTATAAATACATTTGTAACACAAATAAAAAATTTTTTTTCCCTTTACAACTTATAGGATTTATTTTTTAGACAGCAATAAACTGCTCAGTTATTCATACAGATTATCTAATCCAATAATTCTTCTTGCATGCTGTAAAAATACCCAAGAGGCCTTTGTCAACAAAATGGCTTTTGGAATGAATAACTACAATTAATTGTTTAATACTGAATTTCAAACCTTTTTAAAGCTTCAATATAATGCTAAAACCAAAATAGTTTTCAGTAATCATCTAGTGTTTTTTAAATGACCTAATTCACATACAAGACAATTTCTTCTATGTATAATTAGTGAGCCTTTACCCTTTTCAATGCATTCTCAGTCTTCTCAGGTGCTATCTTCATAGCTGCCGTAGCATCATTAATAGGACAGGGCATATATCGTAATGTATAATTCCTAATAAATTCAAATATGTCCAGTATGAGAAACAAAAGTTTTTAGAAGCAAAAATTTAGAGCTAAAATTATAGAAATTTAAAGATTGAAAGTACTTCTTTTAAACTTATAAAACTGTCAAGTGTTATCAATTAATCAGTTACCATTTTGAAATAACTTCACATTGTAAATAGAACTGATTATAAAAACGACTGCTGTCATTTCAAGAAGTTTCGATTTTCACCTATTAAGAAGAATAAAAAACTATGACGTTCCACATCAAGAAAGTGTCAAGATTATGGAAGAACCACAATGAAAATTGGATGATTATTTTTTAATTTTTCCTACACCTACTTAATTCAGGCTTCGTGGGATCCTTGAAACGGATAGAAAATGATCAGATAATTTTCCTTAACTTTTTTTAAAATAAAAATTTACAAAGCCTTAAAACATTTTTGGTGTAAAGAACTTTCAGTATGGTTGCTTTATCAAGTTATTTTATTTGTTTTTCCTAGATAGACAATCTTGTGTGATGACTAGGATTATATACACTAATAATATAAAAATATTTTTACAGCAAAATCTTTCTGGTAAAAAACTACATAGATTTTTTATATCAAAATCAATAGGTAAAACAATAATCAATTAGTACATTTCACACCACTGATGCTGTAGCAAATAAAAATGGGAAATTTGAAAAATGTTTTCTTAAATGCTAAATATTAACTTAAAAAAAATTACTGAAGTACATACTTCTCTAATGCATAAGCAATGTCTTGAAAACCTTGTGGTGAGGTTCCATTTCTGTCCCAAAGTATGCATCTGAGTTTGGAGTTAATCTGAAGAGCTTTGGCAAGTGTTTTTGCTCCTGCTGGACCCATTAAGTTTCCACTGCATAAGAAAAACTAATTGTCAATAAATATAGATTTACTCAAGATCCTTTAAATTCAATACTTATAGTAAGTAGTTCATAAACTTTATTAATGACTAATAATATTCATATACATTTTACTTTTTTAATATAATACTCCAAATAAAAACTAACATAGTTAGTTATACTTTGTTTTTAAATCTTTTCTATTGTTGTATAAGCACATTTTTTATATCCAAACAGATTTTTTTCATTACATCACATCTTTTTTTTTCTTATTACCTACATTTTTTTCTAAAACCAATTCACTTTGTCAAATGAAAGAACCTTAAAGAAACATTTTAAATAATGTACAAATGTGTATTCTAAAATTATCAACTGAATATGCAGAAGGAATGTTGAATATAATTCTGAGTATATTATGTGTACCCAATGGAATGTAGCAGCCTTTTAGTAAAATGTACAAAAATCAGATGTGTTACAAAATTATTTATACTGAAGATACATCCATGAACTGATGATGTCAATCAGACTCAGGCTAGTTGAAGACTGAGAATACTTTTGTCCATTGTACAGTTTGCACATTGCATCTTCATAGCCTCTGAAACCTCCAAAATGCATATCTACTTTTTTTCAGAATCTTAGTATATTGTATCTGGTATTTTATCTCATCTACCATGAATTGTTACCAAATCAGTAAAGTAAGATAAAATGAATAATTGATAACTCTGATATTAAATACGTAATACCATGTTGAATAACACTCTGGGAAAGGTAGTGGCATGCATACTTTGGCTTCCTACCATGCACAATGGGTTAAAGTTCAACTCGTGAAATAGAACTTATCAGCAACACTCACATTTTGAATAATTCATCAATTTTTGGTTGTAAATATAGCAATGTTAAATCTCTGCAATTTGGGGATGTGGTTGTCACAGGGTTAAACACAACCCAATTAGTGCTGATGATTAAAACTACAGGAGTACTTCTTACACTAACCTGATTACTGTTGAAAACATACAGTTACATAAAATTTGTTATGATAACTGATGATGTTAGAAAATACAAGGTTATTTTACACCAACTTGATTATTGTTGATGTTATAATATTGTTACTACAAACATTCATGAAGATATTTACTGAGTTAAGATACTGGTTTATATTTAACCTAAATACTGACCTGATATCTATTGATGTTAGACTCTGGTTACTTCCTAAAGCATTTATGACTAGACAAGTTTCTCCTCGTAATTTGGAGTCTGCTAGTGACAAAGACTCCAGTACAGAGTCTTCTTCTTGGATTAGCTGTACTACAGAGTCTAAGACTCGAGTTATATGTCTAGAACAGTAAAATAAAATAAATAGATCTTAAACCAGTGACAGAATTTGTAAATGACAGCTAACACAAAGTATTGTAAAAATACAACTTGAAGTACCAAAACATCACTAAAATATAAATATAATGAATATCTCATAACATGATGTTTTTCAATTATACAAAAAAGAACTGAAGATGTTTTTTCAAGGGGTAGACATAGAATTGTGAGACTAACCTTAATGTTTTTAAAAGTTTACAAGAGATGCCTAATATACTAAGTTTTTAATAAATTAGATTAATTTCCTTTCTTAAGTCCTCTTGTTAAACATCTAAATTTAATGATTTTTAGGTATATGAGCATTAAAATTTAAAGTTTATTTATCAGCAAGTCATAAAACCTTACATTACTTTCAAATTATTAATATTAATAAAACATTATCCAAAATCATGTAGAAATCTAGAGTAAGCAGTTTCAATGAATATTCAAAGTAAAAACATAAAATAAGTAACATCAGCACAAGCAGAAAGAAACACTGATGCAAGCTAAGGTTAAAATTTTATATACAATTTAGAATAAATATCAGAAACAAATCCTGGTAAAAGGATAAAGGTTTACGATATTTTTTTTTTTTTTAGGCATGTTTTCACTATTCCATTAACTCTACTATTGTGTTGAGTCTGCTGTGCTGCCTATTTAAATTGTGTGTCTCCAATGCATTCATAGAAGTGTGAAAAAGCCAAGATTGTTACTGTTTGGCTGAAATGCATGTAGTCCCATCTATATTTCCTGAACTTGATCAAATTTCTCACTGTTTCTCAATATAATTCATACATCTGAAATCTACTTACAAACAGTGTTGGCTGATGATAGAAGTATTATTTCTAGATAACAAATTACATGTTTTAAGAAGGATTTTAATTTAAAAAAGTGGTGATTAATTTGACCCTCTTAGGTGCATTGATTTTAGTCCTTGCACCAGAGGGTGTTGACTCTCATGGAATGCTGGAAGGTTTGTTTGTTTGACAAATTATGCATGAAGCAATTGGATATTTTTGAGGGAATTTTACAATTCCTTCAGTATTTTTAATGTTCAAGAGTTAAGAAAGAAGCTACAGAGATTTAAGTATTCTGAGTGTGATACACATACATGTAGAAATGGTTTAAGTAAGGATGCCTGTATTATGAAATTAGGTCAAGAACTAGGCGCAGTTAACTAGTTAGTTAGTATTGAGAATCACGAGTCAAGAGTTATAAAAAATGAAGCTACAGCGAGGACGCTGAGAAAAACGCTAGTCACAAGCTTGACAGTGATAAGTTACTGATGCCGAGTTAGTAGCACTGTAAAGGCTACTAAAACGTTTATGATAGCATCTCAAATCGATGCTTTGATGTGAGATCTGTTATTCCAGACCAGTGTAGTATTACAAGTAAAAAGGCAACTGGAGCACTCACCATCAGAGTAACCAATTACTTGAGAGTTTTGGTTCTTGTTTTGGATAAGCCCAGGGAATTGCACAGATTGACCAATAAAGTATTAGAACTACTTGCACGTAGTTAGGAATACTATTTGGAAGGTTGAAAGAATACAGAGAAATTATAGTATAAAAACTTGTGCCTGGAGCTAAAAATTCTCCAGGAAGAATCAAGGTTCTCCAAAGAGCTGATAATAGTTCCAAGTCAGAATTCTTCAAGCAACCATGAATATGAAGGTTTCCAATCTCCAGAAGTCCAACTTTGTTGTAAGTATAGAATTGCTATCTCTCTTGTTCAATTAATGTAATTTACTAAAAGAAGTTAATGCTTATACAAGAGAGAAATATTTTATATGTATTGGTTAATAGTGTTAACTGAAAACTTAAAAGTAAAGTTGTGAGAAACTAATGGTTTAGTAAATGTTTAACTATTGATGTTACAAGTATATACCATGTGGAAAGACCTAATAAATGTTGATATATTTTGTGTAATGTTAGTTTTACAATCCATTTCTTTATTGTTACTGTAAATTACCTTGAGTTAGCAACTTGTGAGCTCCGCTTGCCAATGCAATCCTCAACTAAGTAAATTTGGTGTAATCGGCAGTATAGTCGAAACTTCAACAACTAGCCCTAAGGGCGCTGCCCGTTATGTGTACAAAGCTACTTGAGGGATATCCGTTCTTAATTTACAAGTGATAAATTAAAGGGCTACTCTTTTTACCAATGAAAAGTGGGATTAACCATCACATTAATGTTCTCATGAATGAAAGGGCAAGCATGTTCAGAGAAAGAATTCGATTTTGTGAACTACAGATTGGGAATTGAGCAACCTATCAAGAGGCCATGCCAGGCTTATAAGAGATAATAAGTATAAGTAATACAAAGAAGTACAGGTAAACTCTTTTGTTTTGTTCACTTTTGTAAGTACTTTAAAGTTCTTAAAACAGAGCCAATATACAGTTTATCTTTCATTGTAACTAAAATTTTCTGAAGACTATATTACTGTATAAAAAATACCTTATCCTTTTCATAATCAAAAGTAAATTACAGTGAAAATGTCGTGATTTCAAAATTTTATTTGATATGAAACATATAAAAGTTAAAAGAAAACAGAAAAAAAAACTACTAAAGTTCTAACCCTACACTGGATGTTCTGACCCAAAATAAGAAATTATAAATTTGGAGTTCTATCAACATAAAGAAAATTATCCACCATTTGTCCCAATACTGCTGCATTTCCTCATGCTGTTTTCTAGTGCCTGGCTGAAGTAGCCCAAAATTGGTACTTAAAATATAAATACTGAAAGTAATGAAAATCAAGTAAATAGGCATTTTGTACTTTTTATTTAAAATTTCAAAATCTATAGAAGCCTAATTGATATTTCCTTAATCATCTAGTTATTTCCTATTCAGCAATTGATATTTTTGTATGTGTATATCATTATGTTTCTTATCAAAAGCATAGTGATATTTGATCCATTTATCAGTGTCATCGAGACTTTGTCACATGTTCTTAAAGAAGCCAATACAACTGACCTGTTCTTTGGCAAATATAATTTGAATGGTTACTTTTCTACAGTCACACAACATAGCTACAGAGAAACGTACACCTATTCATACTAGTTTGTATTTTTTTTTTTAGTAGAGAGGAAATACCCCAAAAATTATAGAATCTTACCAAAAGGTTCATTGTTTATTTATGGGTTTTCTAAGTCCTTTTTACCTTACTATATAGCAACCCAAATTAGCTTAGGTGTATCAATATTAAAGCACTGCTGTTTAACTCTATCGCCACAGATATCTTTTGCTGCGCATCATACAAGTTATTAGGTCTTACATTCAAAATGTTATTAAACTATTTTTTGTTAAGTTATACCAATTAGAATAGCATAAAATGTTAGCCAATAATCCATATTTTAATAGTATACAAGTTAAGTTCTTAATTCTACAAGGTAATATTTAAAAAAATCCTGAACTTCCCCCAGTGTGAACCAAGTGACACATTTTCTCTTAGCATGTCATCTTCTGTATTTTATCCACCACCCCTCGAAAAAGTATGAAATTAAACAAATTACTCTCTATAAAATCATCATTGCTCAGACAAACCATAATTTTTAGTCTTCAATTCTGTTTGGTTACAGAGCTATCAAATAGAAAATCAGACCCCTCCTGCCACACCCACCTGCACATCCTCTCTTTCAAAATTCATTATTAGTTCTCTTTTATCTTTAATTGTATATTACCTATAACAAATAGAAAGTCAAAATTTTCATCTACCAAATGAAATATTGTATGACATTATGTTCTGAACAATTAGATGTCAATTTCACTCAGAGTACCAACAGAAAGTTAACGAATAGCTTGGATGAATTTGTAATGACTCTTGTCGTATAGTCAGAAAGCCAAAAAATTTTGAGAGGTAAAGAAATTTGTCTACTTTTTGTATGTTATTAGTCTATATTCTTTGATGCATTATTTAATTAACCTAAAATTATTAAGTGCATTCCTATCATTAGGATAAAAAAATTAGGGTTAACTCTCTTCGACAATTGACAGCAAGAAAAATGAATTGGTTAGGTATTTTATTTCTTTTGTCATGTTTATTCTTTACATATAATTATAAAAGTAACTAAAATGTAAAAATAGGGATCCCTTTAGGTTTAAGATAAGATCAGGTAAAATAAATAAAATTTTTTACTATAATAAAAATGTTTCATGAAGTACACATGCAAGTAGCTTCTGGGTAATGTAATTTGCAAGCAATAATGTGAGCTGCATGTTCCCTGAGTGATTTACAACTTATAATGGCACGGACAGTAGTTAGACATGGTTCAAAGGGCAATAAAACAATAAAATTTGATTATAAATAGATGTACACTCTTACGAATTTAAAGCTACTTAGGATAAATGACTGTAGCTTAATGTTACAATCTGAAGTCATTCCAGAAAGAAAAAAATGGTAATTTAGATTTATTTCGATTTTGTTTTTGGTGGTTACAAGGTTGGTCGAATTGACCAATCTTGTTCTGAGATAATGTAGAGAAAATAACAGATAAACTATAGTGTTTCACTGAAAAAAAAACATGTTTGAAATGCATTCAGGAAGTTTTTGGGATTACACAAAGAGAATTTGAGATTTTTGAGATGAGAAAAAGTATTTTTAATTTTAACATGAAAATTACTATTCAAAACAAATACTCAATATATTCATGGACAAATCTTTGTTTTATTTTATTAAGAATACTTCACTAAAACATATAATTTTTTGTTTGTGACATATATAATATTAACTGAAAGACTGCCAAATTTTGTGAAGATATACACACTATATTGAAAGTTAAAAGCATTAAATCTATAGACTTTATATGAGTACAAAGAGGTCATGCAGTCAGTCAAATTGACTGAGCCCATGTTGAGAGAGTTAATGATTATATTACAGATTTATTTTAATTTAACCAAAGGTAAAATTGTGACATAGAGGCCTAATGCATTCCTTGATTTGCCACATCCTCTACTCTGGACTGCAGTTTTGCCTATTCAAGACTCATCAGCATAGTTTGGATCAGCAAACCAAAGATAAACATTTAAGCCTTTTATAATGGTGATATGTATATACTATTTAAGGTATTGTTACATTCTTTCTCTCTTTAGATGGATCTGCTTGATCAAACATTTGTTCATTAATTATTACATTTTATCACAAAATGTGGTTGTATGTCAAATATAAAAACACGAGACATTTGAGATTTACAGGAACTTTTAGTGCATTTTTGTGTTTCTAGGTTGAAAATTTAAGAATGTTATTTTTTTACAGAAACATACTCACTTTGATTTGATGTTATTGAAATTTCGACCAATAGCTAGATGTTTCAACGACTTATTTTTTCCTACAGCACCTATAATACTTGACAAATCAACATCTAAACCTGAAACAAACAAACAAACAAAAACATTACAACTGTAACATAACTTTCAAACAAAAACATGCACCTACTTTACTTATTTCTTAAACATTAATACATCTGTATCAGTAACACCTTAAGACAGTAAAGTATCAAAAACCAGTAATATTCAAAATATTCATCTTTTAATCAGTTTATTCAATAATTAATGACATTAAAATTACAGCTTTTTCTCAAATATAATAAACATTAATTAATTAATTTTGATGGAATCCACATTCTGTTAAAGTCAGTAAATTAGGTTCTTGAAAATTACAGTTTGGTCGCTGAAAGTCTTGGAATTTTTTTCCATTAGCTTATGTAAACTATAGGTTAAGTTCTTTCCTGTCTCCCTAATATAAATGACATTACAACCTGTAAATTTAGCCTGATAAATTAAGTTACTGGTATCTTTGTGATCATACTTTTTTGATGAAAGATTATGACAAGGAATGAAAGAATAGAATGTTTCTTATTCATAGTTCTATTTTTATATAAGGTGGTTCTAATCTTTTTAACCCTTTAGCAATGGATAGCTCATAATGTGTATGACAACCTTTTACAGAGTTACATTCAAAATTTAATTAAACTATTTTATTATCATTGTATACAAATAAACTTGGCATTAAAACTTTGTAAATAAATGAAATTTTAATACTGTACAAGTTTTACTTTCATAATCTCGTAATAAATATTTAAAAAAAATTCTCAATCTCCACTTGTATGAAAATTGTGACATCTGCTCTCTTGGTCATCCCTCTTCTCCAATTGATTTATCACCCTTCCGAGAAGTATGGAATATAATGTTAATTACTCATTATAATATAGGTATTACTCTGGCAAAGCATAATTTTTTATAGCCTTCACTCTTATTTGTTTATGGAGCCATAAGCTATGGCCACCTGTCACATCCTCTCTTTCCAAGTTGCCAATAGTTCTCTCTGACATTTTATGCTATATTATTCATACCCAATAAAAAGCCAAAGTTTCTAGTCTATCAAATGACATATTATATAACATTGTAGTAATGGTACTAATTTATTAAATAATTTTCATACGTGCATTTAAGAACACAAAATTAAAACTTTTTACATAATATTAAAAATTTGATTTTTTAACTATATTTTGATGTTAGGTTTATTCATAAGCAATGACAATAACGTAGTTTCGTCAAATTTTGAATGTAACACTAAAAAGTCCTATAAATGTCCAAATACTAACATAACCAACAATGTCAGCATTTTGGACTCAGATTTAAATACCATACTGCCAAAAAAAACAAAACAAAGCACTTTTAATAAAACAATTTTGACCAAGTATTAAACAACATTCTAAATCAATCATTTATATTTTTAAGAATGAGGATGGTGTGACACCACACACTAACTGTACCTTGTTCATTGAACCTTTATTGTTGAATTATTGACATTAATTTGTTTTGTAATTCTTATTTTGAACTTTCATCAAAGCCTATTTTTAAGAGTAAAACAGTTGAAACAATTACAAAAGACAATCTCTATTATTTTATTATGATAAAATTTATATTTTTTCTCAAATCAGTATATACTACATAAAACCAGTAACATTTGAATCACAGACAAGGAGACACATCTCTCCAATTGACCAATAAGGACTTCTGTTTATTCATTGGCTTTTCTCAGCTAATCACTGCCAGCTGCTCATTTTTCATGCATATATTGTTTGGTAGTGTTTTGTTGTTTGCCTTATGATATTGGGATAACACAATGAAATGTAGCAAATAAACTTGTTTTCTTTTAACCTTAAACAGCTCCACTGAACTTTCAGTAACTTGAGTTTAATTTATTCCTACTTGTAATACCACATCCTGAATACAAAGAGCACAAATAGCAAGTTGACATGACTTTCATACCTAATCATTCTGTATTAATAATGATTTGATCTTACATTATATTTGTAATACAAAGAGATTAGTCTTTCTGTTTCTTACCATTATCACTAATATCCAAACTACACAGACAGTGGATACCAGGAAGACACGACTCTAGCACCTGAGAACCTTGGGACTTTAAGTCATTGCTGCTAAGATCCAGAGCTACATCAGTGGCAAACTCATTGCATGCTAATCCCAAAAGCATGGCTCTAATGGTTTGAAAGGAAAGAAAAAAACAACAAAAAAACAGTACATTAAAATTGTATACAGTTGAATAAAGTAATTAAATCAAAACAGTGATTTCATGCAGTTATATTATTTGCTTGCATCACAAAGCTCTACTAACTTGAAACATTTCTCAAAAACTATTGTTTTTGTTGTATGAAAATAACTTGTTTGAGTCGAATTTCTTAGTATTTTTACATTAATGTCATTCTATAACTGTTAAATACATTACATTAATACTGAATCTGTTATGTGAAATACACTTCATTTATATTAAACTTAAGAAGATGATTTTAACAGATAACTATCTGGCACAGTATCAACTCATGACTATAAGACAGATTTCTTGAAACAAGGGCTTGGTTAACAGCCACGAGGAATTTTAGAGTAAAAGTTGAGAACAAAACTAACAATTTCGAGTTGTTGGGCTTCTACTTTGTAACAAAATGGCTGCCAAGTAGCAATTTTATGCCCTTCTTTTTATGCAGTTGATTTGTATGTCCTGGTAAATTTCTTATGGAGGGTGTTGTGTCAATAAGGTTACAAGATACCAGGGTATGCATTCTAAAAAAAATATATCAAACTACCATAATTATTTTATTTTCTAATATGCATTAGTGTATGTAACATATGCAAAGTAACAAAAAGTAAAATATTATATTGAAACCACCACCAAATACAAAAATACTGTACAACAAATGACACAACAAAGTAAATATTATAAATATTTAAATGATGAACGCTAGTTTCTACCTACAACTATAACTATTATAAACCCTTTATAATCACCAAGAATACTAGCTCCTAGGCACTGTACACAAAAATCAACGTTTTACAAATAGGCAGAGTTTGTTTTCTTGCATTAGATATATTTGTGCAATCAGATATGTATGACAAAAATCAGAGACAGTGCATTATAAGTGGTATCATTTGAACAATTTAATATCACAATTGCCATTTCTGTTATTAATATATACTGAAATAAAAAACAATATATATATATATAAAAAAAACACCACAACAGGATGTAAATTAAACCTTCATCCTATCAGCTCCAGAAAATTGCACTAACTCTACAAAAAATGGCACAACAAAGTATATATTATATTTATTTTAAAGGATGAATACTAATTTCTACCTACAACTATTATTATTATAAGCCTTTTGTAATAATCAAATGTGGATAAGTTAGAAGTCGTTAATTACTCAAAGTTATCCTTGGCTTACATGTAACTAACTATAAAAAATATTTAGATTTTCGTTCAGTATACTAGGATGGAAATACTAATTTTAAGTAGCTGGGGCTTGTTTCAGCTCACCCAGGTTATACTTGAACAAGTCTTCAAGAGAAAGGGAGGAGGTTTGAGAGTTTAAGAATTATTAAGGTAGGGTTTTTAGTTCCCTTTAACCCTTTCTATATGGGTCACAGGTGAAAGGTATTGTCATCTTGTTTGTTGACTCACATTAAAAATTTTATTGAACTACTATTTCATGAATTTATGTCAATAAGTTTGGTATCAAACTGTAGATTATAATTCAATTTTAGCACTATACATTACTTAATTTGTTAATTTAAATGTAAATATTAAAAAAACACAGATAAACATTGATTTTTGTGTGTCATCTAGTATGTTCAATGCAGCACTGGTTCAAATTAGATGTTTGTGAAGTCAAAATACTAAGTCTACAGTTTCATACGAATTAGAATCTTAAATTACAAATCAAACACAGTGGCACCCCACTCACCTTCTTCCATTTTTGGAAACGCTCCCTTATAAACACTTACTACTATATATGACATGAATAACCAATCGGAAACTCAGAATGTCCGCCTTGTGGTTTTCTAATCCTTTCTGATGTACCTAGCATCATTTCTTTCTTTTAAATCAAGATTTCAATGAGGTAGGTTGTGTCTTTAGTCTGCTAGAAATTTCTTATTTTTTTAGACCCAAATACAACTTAGTTACTTCGTTTGATAAATTATAGTAGAATTCTATGATACTGATGTAGTAATTTATGATTTTTTTAGTTATTCAAAAGTATATACATAACCTAAAAAAAATATTTTGTTTCATGTCCTCCGTGTGCAAAATTTTTAAAGGTTCAGCAACCTACATCATGCAGCAATCAAGTACAAAGGTCGTAACTAGAAGATATAATTGTTTGCTGTACTTCTTTATTTACTGTTCTATGTTTTAGGAAAAATAACTAAGAACTTATTTCAAAATAGCAATAA